ATGTTATGTTATGTTATGTTATGTTATGTTATGTTATGTTATGTTATGTTTTATGTTATGTTATATTTACATTGTTAGAGCCCCAGCAAAATTGTCTTAAGGTCTTTAGATATTAGGATCCTCCCTCACTATAGCAAAATTACCATAGTGTTAGATTCATCCCCCACTGTGGTATTCTCGAGGAGATGGGAGGTTTTTCAATCCAGAATTTAGTGACATTGCAGATCTCTGGGGAGTAAATAAATTCTTGTATTTTGTAGTCAATAAGAGTGATTTTCACGGAAGACGAGTATTATAAAGCATGCAAGGGAGCAGCTGTATGTTGCACAGCAAATCCAGTGTAACTAGAACAGCATCTGCCCAGAGGAGACTTGATATGTGTGGACGTTCTCAGCAAAGCCGTTGCAGAGAAGATGACTTGTGCAAGTGAGTCCATCTACGTTCAACAGAAAATTGCTCTGTGCATCAAAATCATAAATCATTCAAGTTCATTTTGTTTTGAAGTAGAAAAAAACGAATGTATGATTTACAGTTTTGATGATTAGAAAAAAATAGATTATGTTTACAACATATCACTCTTTTTTTCTATAAAGTAAGAGGTAAAGTTATGTTTAAACTTATAACTGCTGTAAAGAAAATCAGAAGCTACCTCTTTATATTTCTTTTCCTTCTCTGAACTTTTGGCTTTGCCTTTTTCCCCTTTTTCTTTCCTTTCTTTATTCTAGATTCCTTTTCAGGTTTACCCTTTTAAATTTTCAGATAAAAATCATATTAAAAAAGAAAAAGAGAAATTGCTCTGTGGGCAATGGCCACATGTTTTGTCATAGGCAAACCAAGGTTTACCTTGCCCACAAAATCAGAAAGGTTGAAGATGGCCATGACGAGGATGGGGAGCCATTCACCCAAAGTACAATTCCGGATTTCCGATTCTAATCCAGGGAACAGACACAAGGTGATGAAGTAGGTCACAGCGATGGACAGCATGTAGGCCCCGATCACGCGAGAGACGACATAGCGGTGAAGCATCAGATCTACCAGAGTCCAGAGAAACAGGGCAGTTAGGCCAGAATTGCTTTTCATCCTGGCTTGTACAACGGACAGACCTGATGGTTACCTCTGAAGCTTGGCCAACTCCTTTTGATTTGAGGCTGAGGGACGTCAAATCTAACGTAGGTACCGCTGCCCGCCAGTTCACCCGCCTGCCCAAAGGTGTGGGGAGGAGAGGCGTCTTGTCCGTGAGGCGGATTCTCCTTGGAGCAAAAGGACAGAGAAATAGCGACCACCAACGTCAGCTGCCAAGAACCTCCAGCATAGCTCAAAGGAGGAGGAGGAGGAGGATATTGCAATGATGATGATGATAAGGACGTAATATTTGGAGGTACACTTTTAAACATGGAGGACCTCTACAATTGTTTTGGCCAACAGATCAATTCTGCATGAATCTCTCTAGGCAGAGGTAGACAAATTCATTCATTCATTCATTCACTCACTCACTCATTCATTCATTCTCTCTGGGAGCTCAGATGGTATACGTGGCTTCCCATTTTTCTCTGCAACTACAACCTTGTGAGGCGGATTGAGGAGAGAGGTACGAGTAGCCAAGAGTGGACTTAAATCTGCATCTCCCTAATTTTACTCAACATTTTAACCATGTCGCCAAGCTGGTGGTACTTTTGATTATTCGTTCCTTTGAAAACCATCTCTTGGGCAAAAGGGGAAGTTGAAATCCCCGAAAGAAATATAAACCCACTGATCAGATCAAATGATTCTCAAATCTTCCTTGCCATGTCCAAGGTGAACTTTCTGTCACCATGGAATCATTTGAATTAACTTCTTGCACCAGGAGGGGTCACCATTTCTCTCCTTCAGCCAATCCTTAGATATAACGTACTTTGCGTAATTCCACCCAACCTACAATCCTTACGTTGCAGTAGGCCACCTTTTCAATATCTGTGGAATTGCATTTTGTTTTATGTTTTATTGTTAAAGGCGAGATGGGGGTCTGGCAGTGATATCTTGGGTTTGAAGGAAATTGTACAAGGAAGGAAGGAAGGAAGGAATATTATGTTTCTTTTGGATAACTTGCTGCCAAATTTGATCAGCATCACCTTGGAGGGCTTAGAGGCTGATGTTTCTATTCCTAGACACTATTTCTAAAAATTCCACTATTTAAGATCCATCTTCCCAATATGTTGAATGAGGAACAAATTCTCACATTGCCAGGAGATACCAGGTTAGGGAAAGTTGTTCTCAAAAATGTAAAAGTTTAAGTTTAAAACCCCAAGGAGCACAAAGCATTTCTGGCCACAACTTACAAATCGGATGTCTTCTGCTGTGACATCGTGGTGGACTCTGTATCCGGTGCCATTGTCCACGGGCCCTTTAAACTCAGAGGCCCCGTTCTGGGAGCGGGAGGTGTAATACCTGACGAAGTAGGTCTGTTTCACCAAGAGGTGGAGGATGAAACAAGTGAGTTCCAGTGCAACGGAAATGCAGAAGAAGATCATGGTGTTCTCCTTCTCATCAGACAGTAGAAGCTTGGTGAAGATGCGACTTAAGGAGATGATGACCCCAGCAGTGCCTGGAAGGAAGAGCTGAAGTTGAGCTTGTGTGTTAATACTAAGGCAACCCCCTGGACTATGGCATTACCAGAGTTTGTGAAGGCCTGGTCAAGAGATCTCCCTGGTTCCCCATACATATCAGTTCCTCCATCTCTTCTTTCCATCCCATTAAATACTGTAAAATGTTACGAAGGAAAAGACAGGATAGCTCCCAAGTTGTCTTTTGATTCTTAGTGCTCGTAGCCCTCATCTGAAAACATCCATGTCAAGCAGGGTCTATATCCTACACTTGTCGAGAGAGGCAAGAAGGATCATCAGGCAAAGGAGGAGAAGGTGTGTAAGAGCTGTCAGAAACGCTTTCTGTTGCATAAGAACAAGGGTTAGATGTTCCTTTAGACCCATTTGCCTCTTGTGGTACTGGGTTCTTCTCTCCCTCTGGCACTGCCAGAAGAACATGTCCACCAAAAGTCTTTGAATGGGCCAGGCGGGCCAGGTCATGCCTCAGCTGTTAGCTCTCAGGCCAACAAGCAAGGAGAGAGCTTGCAAGGCTACTCTGTGGTGCCATCTGTCCGGGTCAGCATTCAGCCTTCCCAATCCCACCCTCCAATCCAAGAGCTGTGGATTCAGATGACCAGAAGGCAATCCTACATTAGCAAAATCCATCAAGTAGAAAAGAAGCCATTGTGGGAGCCACTTATTGAAAGGCTGAGTCTGCACCCAGAAGAAAAGGGAGACATGAAATGTGTCTTCCCCTTGGGCATGGGGATTAATGGTGGGGTCAAGTAAATGGTGTCATTTGGGATGGAGATGGCTGATGATGGTTTGTGGCTTTAAAGATAGTTTGGAAAAGGGTTCATGAGAGGCAACACTGCTATTGATAGATTTATTTTGCCCCTCCATTGGCTCAAACAAGTTGGGCAAGGATTTTTATCTGACACTGACATCTGCTGCTCAAAAGCTGAAGGGGGATGAGTCCATTCAAGAGGCCATGCCCTACTTTCTAGATGCCCTTAACTCTGTTTTATTTTTTAATGCCTTCGGTTGGAGTTGACCAAGGAGGCTGGCCCTACCATAAGGCAGACTGTAGCAATCACCAAAGGGGTTAATGTGACAATTTTTAAAGGTGGCTCCAGAGATAAGAACAAATCATGAAGAGGCAGGTACAGATCTCTTGCTACAACATTTGCTTTAGCCCTGAATGAAGAGTTTTTAAGGTAATACTCACTTTCGCCTGTCATCACTCCCTGAGTATAGCGCTTGGGCAACATCCCGGTGTAACCGTAGAAACTGGATTGCTGCACTTAAAAGGGGAGACAGAGTTGAGCAAGCAAAGGAGAAGGAGAGTTATGATGCCTAGGCCAAGACATAGCAACTAGATCCCATCTTCGTTAAGGAACTTCTTCTGCTCCACCTCCTCTGACTCATTTGTGGTCAAGAATGACATTCATGAGTCCCACCAGGCAATTCCTGTTCCCAGACATCTGGGAGGCTGGGAGAGTCTCTGCTCCCCTTCCCACACATACCTGTGCACCCAAAGGCCACCACGCCTACCGCCATGAGATTGATAGCGTAGGCTTGGTGCTGGGAGAAGAGATCAAGCCAGACGTCACAGATGCTCACAAAGAGAAGGGGACCCAGAGCAAAGAGATATCCTGAAACGAACAACAGCCACAAAAGACGCGTGCCACTTCTACAGACAAGGATGCTACACATTCCAGAAGTTTATCTTCTGACATATAAATCCTAATACTCCCTACAATGGGGAGCATTGAGAATAAGTAATATACAGGTAGCACCTCTATATGGCTTCCTTCTGCAACTTCTGGCTGAAACTTTGAAGGATGATATGGAGAAGAGAAGGCACACCGAAAATTGTAATACTGGCTACAACTTTCTTAGTGAATAGCGGAAGCCAAGAGGTGAGGTGGGGAGGACAGGGGGATTCTGGACATACCCACAGTGATCCTGGTGTGAAGACTCAACATTTCTACCAGGACATTGTTGAGGATGACAGCAACCAGGGCTACTAAAATGTAGGTTAGGCTCATATCAAACACGATAGAGGTCCCTGCAGAAAGACACAATGCTGGGTTCATGCATCATGCTAAACCAGGGCCTTGCTTCAGTATGGCGAACTGAAGAAGCCACCATTGATTGAGTTCACACAAGATGCTAAACAAAAACCAAAAAACCATAGTCTGGCTTTGGGTGATGTGTCAACAGATGAAAAAAGGTGGGGTTGGAGGTAGGGAATAAGGTGGGAAGGAGAAACACTGCATGCAGTGAAGTTCTGTGGTGCTCCTTGGGTCCAACAAAAGTTGGAGGTTTATTAAGAGGAACAAGAGCAGGGTGCTTTATTCAATAATGTGGCTTGTGGGGTGATTGATTTTGCCCCCTCCGTCATCTTGAATGTTTTTAGTATTTTGTATAGGGTTTGTTTTTTATATTGACTTTTAATGGATTCACTTGTTTTAATTATTTATGGGGTATTTTTAATTGTTGTCGGGGTTTTGATTTTAACTGTGAGCCG